GTATTTTGTGTTTACATTGCAGACCCTCCATTGATTGGTAACTACGACGTGAAGCGGTGCTTTGAGGTAGACGCCATATTCCATTACCAAATCCCAGGAGGCCTTACAACAAACACCATCAGAAATATCACAGTGGAGTTTTACAGTTCTTTTCTGATTTTTTACAATCTTTATCTTAATCTTCAACAATGCAATGGGGTGAATGTCACAATCGGAAATATAACATCATCTCCGCCAGGAGTTAGCCATGTTTACTTCAGAGTACCGGTTACTTATACAGCATCAAACCACATGGCTGATGATCAAGTGGCTTCGAATGTTACCACCTGCATAAACGCTGTAAATTTTACCTTGAAGGGATATATCGACCAAAACGCTCCAAAAATTGTCCAAAACAACGCCACATACCAAATTAACCAGCCATCTTCCATGGAGAAGAGGTCATGCTGTGGTGGAGATATACCGCCGCCCTGCTGTGCCGTTGGCTCAAACAGGGTGTCAAGTACTAAATGCGGTAAGACTGTTGGTGTTTTTGTTGTTGTTGTTTTGTTTTTGTGTCAAACGATGAAAAACAACTGTTGTGTTTTTCTCAAACGTTTAAGACTACTTGTATTACTTTTTCAGGTTGTTTGCCTGGATTTCACTTCGTCGCCGGCCGTTCGTGTCTCCCTTGCCCTGCTGACACTTATCAAGATGAACAAGGACGAACATCTTGTAAAACTTGTCCAGTCAATACAGGAACATTTGGCAAAACAGGAATGACGAACCAGGGAAACTGCACAGGTGTGACAACAGCAACAAAACTGTGCTGAAGCACTTTCTCTCTTTAGTGGTTTCCAATCTAATATCCAGTGGGGATAAAGAGCATAAAATAATCTATACATATGTAATATTTCAGATTTAAAGACTTCTCCTGTATGTATTTTACTTTTTTAATCTTTTTTTTTTCTATAGATGGTCCCCGGATCATCAACAGTTATCACTGTTGCTTGCTAGCCTCTTGTATCGAAAATAATCCTGCATTGCTTTGGTTTTGTTTTACTTCTTTCTGAGCTTTTGTGATTAGTCCAGAAAACTTGCGCCACCGTCTCTACTAATGAAAATGAAAAACTAAAGCTAATCCCAACTTAGTCACTCGCGCTTTCCCGCGCTTCAAGCAGATTGCCTGTTTCTACTTTGAGTTCTTATTGGCAAATGATTGATGTTAAGCTTTGCTGATTGGTGGTTGTAATTTCCTTGGGTTTTGTTTTCCGACACTCAGTTGGAAACTGCTTTGATAAAATGTCGAATGACTGAACTTTTTCTGGCCGCCCTTACTCACCGGATGTTACTTCTTTAGGTTGTGCTCCGGGATTTCGTGTCGCTCCTGGCTTTAACAGTTCCTGTCTCCGATGTCCGTCAGACACATATCAGGATGAGAAAGGCCAAGGGGAGTGTAAGAAGTGTCCGGAAGAGAAACGAACATTTAACAAGACAGGAGTGTCCAGCGAGTCCCACTGTTTAGGTAAGCGCCAACAATGTTTTAAAACGAAATCGTTTTACGAAAACCTATTGCAAAGACTGAACATAAAACTTATACCTTGGGTGAGTATAAGACCTCCCCAGCTTGCCACAAGTACTGGTTTTATGACGCTTAATCGAAAACTGCTCTTTTTTTCAAAGTGATTATACCCATTCCCTTATTCGTTTAGACCACAATTATGAATGAACCATGCATTTTATAGTATTCCTTTTCTTTGATTTCAGAAGCTTCTCTGATTGGTAACTATGAATAGTAATCTAGCTA